CATAGTTACTTCTTCCCTGTGTCCTTCCCTCTCAGGCACTCTCCCTCCCACCCCAGCTGTCTCCCTGTGCATACACAGTCCTTCTGTTCTACCATGATTGATCTCTCCAAGGAGTGTATCTACCTAATGTAATGTTCAGCTCATGTGCCTGTCTTGTTTGGCTGGAAGCCACAGGAGTGGGTTCAATTCCAGACCTGAAGTATATGCCTTTGGGGGCCAGAGTCTCAGGGATTTCATTCACCAAGCTCTCCTTCCATCTTCTTTTGATGCTTTCTTTGTTCATTTTACTCATAGAGTCCTTCAATATTGCAACTAGAGGCTTGAATTTTTTTTTTTCTTGAGTTCTTTCAGCTTGAGAAATGCCAAATGTGTTCTTCCCTTTTGGTTTTCTAACTCCAGGTCTTTGCACATTTCATTATAATACTTTGTCTTCTCGTGTCAGCCTTTGAAATTTTCTGTTCAACTCTTTTACTTCATCATTTCTGCCATTTGCTTTAGCTACTCTATGTTTAAGAGCAACTTTAAGAGTCTCTTCTGACATCCATTTTAGTCTTTTTTCTCTTATGTGTCTTTATAATGACCTTTTGCTTTCTTCATGTATGATATCCTTGATGTCATCGTACAACTCATCTGGTCTTCAGTCATTGGTGTACAGTATGTCAAATCTGTTCTTGAGATAGTCTCTAAATTCAGGTGGGATATACTCAAGCATGTATTTTGACTCTCGCAGACTTGTTTTAATTTTCTTCAGCTTCTTCTAAAATTAATTTTCTTCATATAAACTTGCATATGAGCAACTGATGTCTGTTCTGCAATCGGCCCCTGTTCTAATCAATGATATTGAGCTTCTCCATCTGTTAAGGATTGAATTATGTCCCCCCAAAATATGTATTGTGAATCCTAACCTTTGTTGTTGTTGTTGTTATGTGCCGTCGAGTCAGATCCGACTCATAGCGACCCCTCCTTGGGTTTCCAAGGCAGTATCACTATGTAAGTAGATTGCCCCATCTTCCTTCCGAGGAGTGGCTGGTGGATTTGAACCACCAGCCTTCTGGTTATCAGTCAAGTGCCTTAGCCACTATGTTACCAGAGCTCCCCTAACCTTTATGCTTGTGGTTATAATCTCATTTGGGATCAAGTTGTTTTTATTACACTAATGAGGCAGGATTAGTGGTGGGTGTTTCTTGAATCAATCTCTTGAGATATAAAAGATTAAACAAGAGAGCAGAGCACAGACGGGGAAGACATATGCCAAGGCACGTGAAGATCTCGTAGGAGCAGAAGTTCAAAGAGATAAGGACTTTGCTCCAGAGCTAACAGAGAGACAAAGCCTTCTCCTCAAACTGGAACCCTTAATTCAGACTTCCATTTGTTAAAGCCACCCATTTGTGGTATCAGGTAATTTCTTTCCACAGAGGTAGTCAGTTTGATTCCTAGGTATTCTGTCTGAGAGGTCCATGTGTTTATTTGCTGTTTGTGTTCCCGAGAAAAGGTATTTCCAATGAATAGATAGTTGATCTTTCAAAATTCTATCTTGCGACCTCCCACACTATTTCTATCACCAAGGCAATATTTTCTAACTACTGATCCTTATTCTTTGTTTCCATCTTTCATATTCCAATCACCAATAATTATCAATACATGTTAATTGCATGTTTGATCAATTTAAGACTGCAGAAGTTGGTGAAATCTTCAGTTTCTTCATCTTTGGCATTAGTGGTTGGTGCATAAATTTGACTAAGTGTCATATTAACTGTTCTTCCTTGTAGGCATATGGATATTACTCTGTGACTGACTGTGTTGTACTTCAGGATAGATCTTGAAGTGTTCTTTTTTGATAATGAATATGACTCCATTCCTCTTCAATTCATCATTCCCACATAGTAGACTATATGATTGTCCTATTTAGAATGGCCAATGTCAGTCCATTTCAGCTCACTAATGCCTAAGGTATCAATCTTCAAGTGTTCCATTTCATTTTTGACAACTTCCAGTTTTCCTAGATTCATATTTCATATATCCCATGTTCCAATTGTTAATGGATATTTGCAATTGTTTCTTCTAATTTTGATTATCTCTTCTGATATATCTCATGCTATATCAGCCAGTGAAGGTCCCTGAAGCTTTGCTCTCTGTCATTAAGGTTGACTACTTTGAGGACCAGCTCTTCCCTAGTCGTATTTGAGTTCCTTACAAACCTGAGGGCTCATCTTCTGGCACTATGTCAGACAATATTCCTTGCTACTCATAAAGTTTTCAGTGGTCATTTTGTTTTAGAGGTAGATCACCAGATCCTTCATCCTAGGCTGCCTTAGTCTAGAAGCTCCACTGAAACTTGTTCACCGTGATGAACCTGCTGGTATTTGAAATGCCAGTGGCATAACTTCTGCCATCACAGCACCAGGCAAACCACCACAGTACAACAAACTCAGCTTGTAAGCAACCTCAGTGTGACTTCCAACTCCACACTCTCAACAGTTATGCCTGATTGTCTCTCTGGGTGGCTAAAAAAGCTCCTTGTTGATGAACTTGATGCTTGTTAAGTAGGAATAAACTTCATGTTTCAATTTATAAAATACTTTAGAAATTCTCTAGTCTGCCACTATCTCACTTTATAAGAAAAGTAAACTAAAGTTTTAAGAGGGTAAATAATTTGAATTCAAACCAGTTTACACCCCCCAAAAGAAAAAAAAAATGAGGTAGTGATTTCTTCAGTATTTCAAAGGTTGGAATTACTTATTTATTTCTGTTAAATTTGATAAATTGGTCAAATAGACAAGTAAACTATACCAGGGAAGGGCCTCTCTTTCAGTAAAAGAAATAGGAGCTCTTTGTTGGCATGCTCAATAAATACATATTTTATTTACTTTCAGTAAAAACTTAGAAGTATTCATATGTGATGGTTGATAATTGCTTTCAGTAGAAACTCTCCCAGAATTTACCCATTCTGTAGTATCATTGGAGAAAAATTATTGATAAGATTATAGTTCCTACCCAAGCAAGCTATATAAAACAAATAGTAAAACCTAGATACTGTATAATATTATAAAAGAGTATGTTGAAGTGTATTGTGAGTAAGTATAAACAGAAGGGCCAGATTTATAAAGCAGAAACTTGCTGGAAAGAACTTTTAATTATTATTTAAAATTATCATAGGACACAGTAGACCCTAAATGAAGGTTGAAAGTATGTAAGGTCATGAGGAGGCTACATAGATGAATAAAACATAGTTGTGGTTCTCAAGGGGTTTGAACTCCATAAGAGGAGATAAATAAATGGACAACTACGGCATACCTGGGAGATATGGCAGGTATTGTTCCAGACCACCATAATAAAGCGAATATCACAATGAAGTGAGACACATGATTGATTTTTGTTTTGTTTCCTAGTATACATGTTATGCTTACACTATACTGTAGTCTATCAAATGTGAGAGAACACTATGAAAGAGTTTGAAATATTGTGAAAACTACCAAACTGAGCACATGCTGTTGAAAAAATGGTGCCAATAGATTAGCTCGACATAGGGTTATCACACACCTTCAATTTGTAAAAAATGCAGTGTCTGCAAAGTGCAATAAAGCAAAGCACAGTAAAACAAGGTAAGCTTGTACAGTTTAATGTATTAAGTGATATGGTAGTAGTAAGTGTAGAATTCTGTGGAATCTTAAGAAAGGGGTATCTAATTTCAGAGTAAGGTGGGATCATTACTTTCCATAGTAGGAATCTCCAAGCACTTAGTGCTAAGTATAGAGTAGGCATTCAGATATTTGGTGGATTGGAACATATCTGACTGAAAACAAGGATGGAAAGGGGATAGAGCATGGGCCTGAACTCAGTTTTTTGCTTGGAACTGTATCTTTAAACTTTCTATCAAAATGTTTTACTTTCAAATACTTTCCATGTTGCTACTGTTATTTCAGTGGCCATGTAAATTGATCAGTATCTACAGCTAAGTGGTAGTAGACAATAGGAAGGGCACTGTGCTTCAGGAAGAGCTCTGTCCTGCAATGCTGGATGCAGAGTAAATGTTCAAAAATAATAATTACTTTGTCTTTTAAAGCTTCAGAATTTATTCAGTAATTTCTCCACCCTCACCTCAAACTCTTTACAAGAATTTCTTATTTTTAATTTCTCATTTTTAATTTTATTAATTGTGAATAATAAAAAGAACATGAATAGTATGATTCTAGTGCAATAGTAAGCACTATATTAACCAGGTGGAACTCTGAGCAAGTCGAGGAAAGTAATACCTTCTACAAACCTAAAGAAAAAAATGTTTACAAACCTTATATGATATACTAAGGAGAATAAAGTTTATATAAGATTGGAGTTAGAATGAATGCACATGAAAAATTAGAGGTCAGTGCTACAGTCTATCATTTTGGCTTTAGAAATAATATAAAAATTCATTGATTGATTCAGTAAAAATTAGGCTCCAACTTTATGATGCCGGAAAACACAATTATGGTACAGTGTGAGTGCTAGAATAGAAATAGATACAGAGTACATAGGAGTGCAGAAGAACAACTAATGGTGCAGAAAAAGGAAAATAGGATATGGGTTGGATTAGTCATATAGGCTTAATTAAAAAACAACCAACAGACAATTCAGTATCATTTATCGTGAATATATCCTATTCATTACCTGATGTATTTTATAGGAACTTGCATAATATTTTTCTCTTTTGTTAAATGAGATTATAAGTCCCCAAAAGCTATTTATAAGTTATGTATTAATTGAGCATGCCAACAAAGAGCTCCTATTTCTTGTTATACTTTAGTGTGCCAATTATAAACTGTATTCAAAGCCAGGTAAATTTAATTCAGTGAGCAAATAAGGTATCTACTTGGTCTACTATTTATTATGTTGTGCAAATATGACTAGCAGAAATAAGTAATATGCTCTAACCATATAGATTATAAAATTCTGCCTACATATTATATTAACTAGTTTTGATCAGTTTAACATCTCTTTTTCATTTGTTATTCCTTATTAAGGGTCAGCTGTATTTGTTAGTAACAGACCAAGGGTTTCTTACTGAAGAAAAAGTTGTTTGGGAAAGCCTACACAATGTAGATGGTGATGGAAATTTCTGTGACTCAGAATTTCATCTGAGGCCTCCTTCAGATCCTGAAACTGTGTATAGAGGACAACAAGATCAGATAGATCAGGTAAATGCTTTGTCTTCTTCATATTGTTTAAAATGCTTGTTCCTTTCTTATGTAAATTCAGTTATTCAATTCAGTTGAAGTAAAGATTTATTCATTAATAAACTTGTGAAATTTCTCTAATTTTTACATAAAACTTTCACCTGCTAATACTTCTGTATAGGTAAGTGACCATTCTGTGTGTACATTAATTACACACTTTGGTCAACAAACCAGAACATAGTGAACTGTGAGGGTCATGGTAAGAAGTTTGAGTTTTATTCTAATTGCAGTAGCAAAGCCATGCCAGTGTCAAACATGGAAGTGACATGATCTACTGTACCTTTTTAAAAAGGCTGCTGTGTGAAAGTGATGGTGTCTTAGCCTGAGTGGTAGAGATGAAGAAATGAGCACATATTTGAGATATATTTTGGCTAGTATGAAAAAGTAGGAGAGAGGGAGTCTAGAAGATGTATGCAGTGGGGAAAACGTAGTTAGGTACTATAAGCTGTAGACTCCAAAGTAAAGAGGAATAGACACAGCAGACGTGCACTGGTGAGTAGAATTTTCATTTAGATATAAGACAAGTGAGATTTTTGCCTGCTACATGTGGGCAGGCTTGGACCCACACTATGTATATTACTAGACATATGACAGTGATGTGAATTCCTCCCCAACTGAGTCAAGAATATGATTATGTTAAACAGTTGGCACAGATTTGGCAGATAATAAGTGCATAGAGACTATATTCATCTCTCCAGTGTTCATTGAACATTTGTATTCCTGGCACTGTAAGTAGGTACTGGGGATCCAAAGATAATTCATCAGTTTTTTCTTAAAAGTTTCTACAGTTAGTGTCGCAGGGGCATCAGACATTTGACCAACTAATACATTAAGTTCTATAATGGCAATTTGAATAGCATTCTGTGAATGCACAGAATATTTGATTCAAACAAATGCTAATCTTTCTAGGACTCTTGACTTTCCTTTGAAAAACAAACGTGATAGTCAACATATTCATTTTCAGGCATATTCAGAAAAGCATGTATATTTGTAGGTGCTGTAAGAATGTCTCTATAACTAGAACTAACAGGGCAAAGTTATGGTAACTTCTTAGGCACAGTCAGCCACCCTGATGGAGTGAGTTGTTGGACCATTGGGCTTGGGACCATGGGACAGGGTACATCAAGCTCAATTGGCATAACATACTACAGAGAAATATTGTTCTACATCCTACTTTGGTGAGTAGCAACTGGGGTTTTAAAAGCTTGCAGGCAGCCATCTAGATGCAACGATGGGTCTCTCCTCTTCCAGAGCAAAGAAAAATGAAGAAAACCAAAGACACTGCAAACAATTAGTCCAAGGGACTGGTGGACCATGTGAACCTCAGCCTATATGACCATGAGACCAGAAAAACTAGATGGTGCCCAGCTACTAGTGTCAATCATTCAGAAAGGGATCAGTGCAGGAGATCCTGGATAGAATGGGAGAACAATGTGGAACAAAACTCAAAATCATAAAAAAGACCAGGTTTACTGGTCTGATAGCCTGGTGAGACCCCTGAGACCATGGCCCCTTGTTATCCTTCAGGTCTGGAATTTAACTCACTTCCATGGCTTTCACCCAAACAGTAAGTCAGGCATATGGGGTGAACATTTATATCAGGCAGATACGCTCCTTAGAACAGTCAGTCATGGGAGAATAGAAGGGCAGTATTTGCATAGGGAGATAGCTCAGGGGGGCAGGAATGCATAGGAAAGGACGACACAGGGAAGAAGTAACTACAGGGAGGAAGTGGGAAGAGAGCTCTTACATTGTGGGGAATTGCAGTCAGAGTCATGAAACAAAATCTCTATGAACTTCTGTATGGAATATGAATTTGCTCTGTAAACTTTCACACAAATTGCAACAAAAACTGCAGGATTTTTCTAATCACTACATGTAAAGAATATTTGAGCAGAGGTAATGAAGAAAAAGGAATAGATTGTCACAGTAATACAGTTGTAAAGTATTAAGATATATACTCTATAGAACAGTGAGTGTTTGGGGGAATAGGTGGATTCAAGACCAGGGGATTTAGGAAAAAAAAAGAGTTTGAGAAAAAAAATTTGAAGGACAAAGTTTTGTTAACAGTAAGGTAGTCATGCTACAAAGTCATGTACAAACTCTTCACAGGCAATGATCTTCTTCTACGTATCCTCTGAAGTTATTTAAAATTCTCATATTTAGGGTTGGATGGGGGAGAAGTGCACAAAGCTGTCAAGTTTCAGCAGTAACTGTGATGAATAAAATGGATATTAGGTGATACAACTTTTCACCAAAAATGTACCACTTTTTCTCTTTGTCAATAATCTGGTTATGTATGTGGGAGGAGGGGAGAAAAGAAAACAAACCTACCGTGATCCAGTCAATTCTGACTCATAGCAACCCCATGTATTGCAGAGTAGAACTGCTCCACAGAGTTCTCTTGGCTGTATTCTTTATGGAAGCAAATCACCGGGCCTTTCTTTTGCAGTGCTCCAGGGTGGGTTCAAACCATGAACCTTTAGGTTAGCACTTAAGTGCAAATGGTTTGCCCTACCCGGGATCTTTGGGAGAAGGGCAGGGATGGCTATATAATTGAAATGTAACTGTATAATGAGCTGGTATGTGGCCTTTAGAAATGATTTTTTTTTTTTTAAATATAAGACTTAAGGCAAATGGAAAAGGAGAAAAGACTATAAAACAATAGTTTCAGAAGGTAGGCAAGTGTGTTTGTGTATGTGAATATAGATAAAATATGCTGTTGTTGTTATGTGCTGTCGAGTTGGACCTGACTCATAGCGACCCCTCCTTGGTTTTCCAAGGTGATATCACTACAGAAGTAGATTGCGGAACCTTCCTTCCGAGGAGTGGCTGGTGGGTCTGAACCTCCAGCCTTCTGGTTAGCAGTCAAGTGCCATAGGCACTACACTACCAGAGCTCCCAGATAAAATATACTAGTGTATATATATGAAAATAAGAACAGTGACTATCTCTGTGTAATATAGTGATTAATTTTAATTTTCCTATCTACACTTTATTTTCTACAGTGACTTATTTATACGTTTCTTCTGCAAATGGGAAACCTTTTTTGTTTTGTTTTTTAAACTTTCTTGGATGGCACTTACACTAGAAAGAATTTTAGATGAGTTCCAAAAATATTTAGAGCATCACTGAAATAAGTTTACAGCTCCCCAAGAGGAATAGAAAAATAACTTTCATTTATATATTAAAGCTCTGGTATGTTTTTAAAAGCTATTATATAGCCTTATAGATACAACTTCTTTATTTAGGCTCATTAGTTATTGAGTAACACTAATTTTAAAGATTGTTGTAATTTAATTTCTCAGGACTATCTTATGGCTTTATCTCTACAACAAGAACAGCAGAGCCAGGAGATCAATTGGGAACAAATCCCAGAAGGAATCAGTGATTTGGAACTAGCAAAGAAACTCCAAGAAGAAGAGGACAGAAGGGCTTCTCAATATTACCAGGAACAGGAACAAGCAGCAGCAGCTGCTGCTCCTGCTTCTACACAGGCCCAGGTAAATCTAGTGTTCTGATTCTTAAATACAGTGACCACTTTAGCGATAAGGGAATTTCAGCTAAAATAAAAAGAAAAATTTTATTAGGTAAATTAAGTTACGCTAGCATTTTAGCACCCATGGGTTTTATGACATTATCCTAAGTTTGTGGTTATTCTAATAAATTTCTCATTTAGTTAGTGGGATTATTTTTTCCTGGCATCTGATGACAAGATATTTATTTTTTAAGTCCTTAATAGTGTAGCAAAGAAAATAAACTACAAGTTGAATAACGTCCTTTCTATCAACTAGAGGGAGGAGCTCTGGTAGCATAGTGGCTAAGACACTTGCCTGCTAACCAGACGGCTGACGGTTCAAACCCACCAGCCACTCCTTGGAAGGAAGGTTGGGCAATCCTACTTCCGTAGTGATACTGCCTCGGAAATCCAAGGAGGGGTCGCTATGAGTCGGGTTTGACTCGACGGCACATAACAACAACAACAACAAGAGGGCAGTATGAGGTCCTATAGGAAAGAATTTAGATTGTGGAGCCAGACAAATGTATTTCCTGCTTCTTTCTCCCCTTACTAGTTGCAGCTCCTTGGGCAAAGTTCTCTACCTCTCTTTTCCTACACGTAAAATAGAAGATAATACTTAACTCATAGGTTTGTGGTGTGCTGTTAAAACTTAACCTAACGTCTGATGTACTGAGTATTAAACAAAGGCCAGCACCTGTCCCTTTTATACTTCCCCTCGTTAAATGATGACATTTTAGGGACTGAATATATGACTCTTAAGTGAGTTTCTTCTATATGTTAAATCTCATTTCATTAAATAAAAAATATTTCCCTCCTTTTATGTTTGCTTGTGTCATACTAGAACTGTTCCTTCTGATTTGAGTACATAAAAAAAGCAACATGCCTTTTGTTCTGGTGAAACTTAATTATGGAAGTTCCCATTAAAACAAGTACCGAAATTTTTGTTCCTAGCTCAAATATTGCCTACCTCAAGCATAAAAGTTAAAATCTACCATAGTATGATTAGCTGTTCATTAAAAAGCCTCATATTCCACCACTTGTCTGTCAGTTTGTCGTTCCGTGGTGGCTTGCATGTGACTGTGAGGTTGGAGGCTGTGCTATCAGTATTTCAAATACCAGCAGGGTCACCCATGGTGGATGGTTTCAGTGGAGCTTCCAGACTAAGACAGTCTCAGAAGAAGGAAGGGGCCATCCACTTCTCAAAGGATTGGCCAGTGAAAACCTTATGAATAACAATGACACACTGTCTTATTTCACACAACATACTCCCTAATCTCATTTCTCAGAATTTGCGCCCCTCTTTAGCATCTATTTGTCATAGTATTTAATAAGGTCTTGAAGAACTATTATAGTTTGCTAAAAAGTGTCACTTTCTTTAACATTTTCTCAAGGTTAGCATAAACATCCCTTAGATTTGAGGCTTCAGTTAATATTGCTCTGCATGTTATTGTTTGAAATTCCATTTATTTAGAATTTATGTATTAATGAATTGTAGAGATTCATTCTCCAGAATTGTAGAGACAGTTACTCAGATATACCAATGGCTTCTTTTTTCCATTAATGATTTATTTTACTCTTGCAGTTTGTCTTTCTAGATATCAATGATTAAGTGCCTTAGCATAGTTGGAGAAATTTCTTCCTGTGTATTTTTCTTAAAGCAGGGCCAGCCAGTACAAGCCTCCCCATCAAGTGGAAGACAGTCTGGGAATAGTGAACGTAAACGGAAGGAACCTCGAGAAAAAGATAAAGAAAAGGAAAAAAATAGCTGTGTCATTTTGTAACAAGTGTTGGATTCTGTTGGAACCACCTATATATCTTGTGAAACAAAACCACAGGGAGAAAAAGGAAGAAAAACCGATAAATACCGTCTGTGCCTGATTTCCCAATGGATTTTGTTTATGTTTTTCCGGGGGAAGGTTGTTATTTAGTTACAATCAGACTTTTCCAAGTCACACTCTTTATAAGCTGGAATTTCATGTTACAAGTTGGAAATGCTGTGTGGTCATTCATGAAATATACTGTACTCGTAGCCAAATAAGCAAATCACAGCAAATTTTGTGTCATAGTGACATTCATAACTCATTATCAGTTAGTAAGCTATTTTATCTTCTGTTCTAAACATGGAGGTAATTGATTTTGTCTGATTCCTTCCTGATATCTAAATATTAGCACAATAGTTTCTGAACTTAATTTTTACAATGTTAAATTATGATCTAATCTATGAGAAACCAGGGGTTTAATATAGGAATTTAAAAAGCAAAAAATAAGACAAAAAAAATAACAAGAATAAATAATCTTTAATTGTATATTGGACTAGTTCAGCCCTTGAACAGCTTTACCTTTCTTTAGGAATGTACATTTTAGATATTATCTTGAGAATTGATAATGGAACTTGGATTTAATTTAGATAGAAAAAATAGAGACTTGTATTTCTTTCCAATAGCAAAAGTTACATAACACTAATACTCATATCTTAACAAAATCAGATATTAACAGCTTTATAGTGTTGTGAAATTTTGAGGAATTTGGCAATCTTAACTATTCGGTAACTGGACCACAGTTACTATTTATTGACAGTGTGATAAGTGTGTAGGGAGGAAACCACAGTGGATGCTAGGCCTTGTAAATACGGGGAATGTGGAAAAGCAGATGATTGAGTATCTGCCTTTTTCTAGAATTACCTTGAACCTTAAAATTTAAATCATGTTTATTTGCTAGAAAATCAAGTATACTTATTAAAATCAATTTAAAAAGCACATTCTGAAAGGAAGTTAGACTGAGAAACTCTCTGAGTTTAGTGAAAAGGCATTAATAAAATTTTCTTTGAGAGCAGATAAGAATTTATGTTAAAGCAATCAGATTTTTTAACTTATGGGAACCAAAAAGATCTATAACATCTTTTAGCCTTTATAGGATTCAGAAAGAATATTTATTGAACTTTATTATGAGGATAACACATATTTTCCTGTATTTCTAGATATAGTTTGGAAAATAATCCTTAATAGTCCTTTTGATATACTTTGTATTTAAAACTTTGCTTTAGTCATTTTTTAAAAGACTATTCTGCTGCAAGCAGTTGTGTGATTGACATTCTACTCTGTGGTAAATTTGTTTATTTTAAGAACATCTTAATCTAACCTGAGCATCCACTTGGAGAATGTCTCTTGTAGTCTGAAGTGACAATAGACTACCAAAAAATGTGGTCTAGATTTTTGACGCTATGTTCCTTAACTTTCTCCATGATTCACGACCAGTTATAGGATGAGTCTGTATATAAAAAGTAAAGTCTTATTTATGGAAGGAATTATTCTAAGGGAAAAATCCAGGGTCAAGCTATATATATCTTTTGTGTCTTACATTGTATGTCTGTTTATGTTACACATTTGTTATTCTTTCAGATTTCCTGTGATAGCATGGTAAATCATCAGAGAACTGGTTTTGGGTATAAATCTTTGATGCAAAATATTTGATGAATCTTTTGATACAACCCAGAATATGTGTACATTGACAAAGTACTCAGATGTACTATAAAATGCTCTGCTGCCTCGAACAGACTGACCTGAATCCAAGTTTATTCTTGATATCATGCTAATAGTTAAAGGAGGAAACTCAAGCCTCAGGGTTTGTTCTTCCTAGAACAGATAGTAGTGACAGTGCGTTATATTTTAATAAGGAAAACCAACAAATAATAAACTCTGATAAATTTTAAAAAGCATATTTGAGGCATATTTTTCCATATTTATAGGCTTACCTATTTATTGCCCTTGAAAAACATATGTGTACAAGTTTTTCTTTTGCTATTAGTTACTATCATCTTAATTTGTTCCAAAGATAATACTGCCATTCTGCATTCCCTTTGGAAGGAAAAAACAAAAACCTCACTTAAAACCAGCCGTGCTGCTATCAGATAAGTAGATTTCAGTGTATACTTAAAGAAGAAGTAAAAATCTTGTTAATTCAATCTTTTTCTATACACTATTTCCAAGTTAGACTTTCTTACATTCCTGGAATTTAGTTTGATATACCAAGGGTAACAATTTACAGATGTTCACTTTGATAACTGTGGGGAAACAATTCAGTGTTCAATTCTATTAAAACAGACTTTCTGAAGATACTGGTTTCCCATCCTTGAAGGTTATAAAGAATTTAGAATTCCCATGTCTTTATTTTCTTGTATTCTGTTCAAGGTAACAAATTATGTATTCAGATGTTTCATTGCTGGTTTGAGTATCTTGGAATTTGATAGTGGTATATTAGTCTTTCTTTCACAGTATTTTGTAATACTTGAAAATAATCACATGTACTTTGCTAGCACAAGTTAGAAATTAAACTTTTTTGTTTCTGATATTTATAGGTTAGATTAGGGGCACATTTACATTAACCAATTCACTATTAGAACTGGTAAAAGATGAATGCATGGATATAGTCATCATACTTTCCCTTACTATCAAAGCTTCTTCCTTAAAGTCAGTGATCAGTCTTTATTAACTGAAAATCGACAGTGCTGTGATCTACAGTAGGTTATCCACACTTAAAAGCACTTCCTTGTGTATGTGTACGTGTATGTGTATTTGGAGCACATTTCCAAGGCTTTCATTAGATTCTCGAAGGGATCGGGGCATCTTGCCTCAAATTTAAGAATGACCATTTTAAGAACACACACATATGTATGTTCAATATATATGTTCAAACACATACTAGCAGTTTTAGGTAATTAAATTGTCATCAGTTATTTTCTATCATATGCCAGTCAGATGTGTTTAAAGTAACTTCTTCCATGTTTCAGGGTGTCAAGTTAGAAATTGTTGGCTGAGCCATAGATTTAAGAGTAAGCTTTGGATTATATCTTATTGTTACATTTCCAGTATCTGACTACTTAGTTTCTATTATGTTTAGAATTCTTCCTAATACTTCTTAGTATTAGCTTAATTAATTAAGTTAGTATAGAGATTAGTTGACTGAACCCAACAGCCACCATTTTTTTTTTATTTGCACAAAATCTTAGCATTTTTTTCAATGAATCGCAAACTCAGTTCGTTAAGAGGAAGATCTTAAAAGAGGACTAGAAGCTAAATAAATATGTAAGGAGAGAACTGTGGTTTCTATATTAATATTGGCATATGAAGCAGATATTTGTAAAACTGTGGTAGAGAGAGATCAAGGCAAAAATTTCCAGAATTGTCCTCAGACTATGTCATTTATAAAAGAAAAACAAATTGATTGTATTTTGCTTTACTTTCCTATCAGTGTGTCAGTTTAATTTTACAACATAATGGGAAAGCATATGGGCTTTACCTATCATACAAGTCAGACATATAACATAAAATATAATTAAACACTTACCAATGTTTAATAAAACTAAGATTGGAGGCATTAAAATACTGTAGTTTATATTTTAAGGAACTGGATATGTAGCGTTCTGAATCATTTCATTTCTAAAATGCTAAGTTTCTGTCTTACCTGGGGCAAACTCTGTGCCTCAATAATTTACTTCAAATACATAAAGGATGCTTTTTTTTTTTAAGTGCTTTACCCTGTCAATATTTGTTGAATCATCTTGTCTTTGAGTCTGGCATAATTTCTTCCCAAAATGTATTTTGCATTTACTTCTGTGTTCTGTAGAGTGTAAGGTACAAATCAAGGGTACTTGTGGAGCACCAAAAGCACTTAAAAATCTATTCTTTTCCAGTATCTTCCACAGATCTAAGCACTTAGATCCTCTTTGCCTTTTCTTCCATGGAATGAAGTACAGTGGTATCAGGTTACTAAGACATATGTGTAAACTTTTTGCATGGATAGAATTTATTTAGATCTCTCTAATACTGTCATTTTTAGGGCTAAATTATTTGTGTTTTATGGTATAAAATGTTATTTGACAATGTGCAGTTCAGTTCCTTTTAGGAAGTGACTGAAATGGTAAAGGAACTCATTAGAATCTTAAGAGTTCTTATGTTCTCTGATTATTTAGTGGCTTGTTTCTCATGTCCAACACTTCTGTAACTGTTGGGAGAACGTTATGAAGAATTGAGGTTACTCTCCTCAGTTGACACTTTCAGACAAACTAAATTTAAAACCTGAAGTTTCCTGAACAAAACAAATAGCAAAGTAGAAATAATGGAGTCTGAAGAACAAATGGTAGGACTCTGGTAAGTTTAATTTCTTTTGAAATTTCAAGATCTATCCAAATTTTTATTCAGACACATCTCTTATTTAATCATGCTTTTTTTAGTTATTAGGAATTAGACTTTAATAGATTACAATATGCATATATATTTTTACATAAAAGATTCTAGTTTCTAAATTCAGTTTTATGATTTCAAACAAATTAAACTCAAAAACAGGGTATAAGTCTTCAACTACTGCCTCAAGCTCAGCTTCGTCCTGTTACCCTAAAAAGGAGATTTACACTTGTCTGCCAGGCGCAGGTACTCTTCAGGGCACAGTACCCTATCCCAAGTAAGGTGTTGAAATACCATGGCACAAATACAAAACCTAAGCTTTGAACTACAGTATAGTTAAAGAACAAAAAGGTGTATTATCTTTCTACAGTGAGTCTCTCTCTGTTATAAAGGATTCTTCAAACCACTTAGTGATTTGCCACCACTAACTTTAAAAACTTTATATCCATCCTCACTGGTACAGTCTGCTTTGAGAGGTAGGGGTGCCTCTTATAGATTAAAGGATGCACAAAGCAAAAACTTTTTGAAGACAATCTAGTTCTTTTGGCCCTACTAGCTATTTTACAGCTTTAAACAGGAAGGAAACTATAATGCCTATTTAAATTCCTAAATGAGTGACCTATTCAAGTGGGCATTATAAGTGAAATATCCTACAAAACAGTTCTAACTATTGGAGTGTGTTGTAATTCTAAGCTTGGTACTGAATCTGTGAAGATATGTCCTGTGTATCTCAGTTTTGTCACTCTGTGTGTGTGTATTTTTTACATTATTGTTGTATGACATAACCAGTTTCTTCAGGGTGCATAGGATATCTTAGTTTTACAGATTTTTTAAGATGAGGCTTTGAAAAGTCTCCAGTGGTTTCTGTTAAAAAGGCTTTCTGCTTCAACAAAACAACAGTTACTGTTGTCACAGATCCACTCATCACAAAGAGGATAGTATAACAGAAGACTGATGTATGACGGCTACACAGATGTGAGCAAAGGGGATAATCTTCACTTGTGAAATTTATGAAGTACACTGAAAGGCCTTTCCTAAAGCCAGAGCATGTGAATATTTTTCTTACTTTCTGCAGAATAATTGGCTTGTGGCACATATTTTAGGAGTAACAAATAGAATGGTTTGACAGTAACTGCACAAAAGGTGATCTTGAAGTATGGCAAAAAGAACACGATCTTCTCCTCCAGTTACTATCAGGACTACTCTAGTCAAGAGATTGCTAGGACGTATCTCTTTGTGCCAGTTGAAGATTGGCAGACCAACTGAAATAGCGTTCTCACAGAGTTTGAATATATAGATTGTGGGCGCCTGTTTTCTCTCCTCCTTTCCTTTGCTGTCTTAATACCTTTTCTACTTTTGAAAATAATTCATGTGTTTTGCTTGATGACCAGCTTTAATTCCAGTTAGTTTGAGAATAGCAACCATAAAGATTAACAGGAAAAGGTATTGAAATACTTTTTTATCTACCCACGAGGGTAGAACGGAGGTTCTATGAAATAAATTTATTGTTTAAAAGGCTAATTATGCTAAAACCACTTAATTCTAAAAATTATGTCTTAGGTTTCAAAAGTTTCCCTTTTGGAAGATATTCCTAAAATGGCATATTGAACATAGCTGGGAAAGTATAAAATATTTCTTAC